TGGCTGTATAGTGTAAGTCAGTGTAAGGGTAAACACAATAGAATCATCTTAAAGTGACACTATACTCAGGAGTTAAATCCTAAAAATCCATTCAAAAATCTAACAAATTAGTAAACTAAACATGAGATTGTAATCCATCACGGGAGTGAGTTTGGAGCGGTAGCTACCATGGGAAACAAAAGTAACCACCCTCCAGAAGGAAGGACAGTGTCCCCATGAATTCAGAGATTTTTTGAAGATATATAGCAGAAATAAACTGTTTTTGTTAATTGGGGTACTTGAATGTTGTTTTTTTTAAAAAGAATTATACGCCTGAGTTTAGTGTACCTTTTTAAGCGTGGTACTGATCTCTTGAACTTCCTTGTATGTTATATGGCCAAAAGTATGCAGACACCCCTCTAAATTGAGTTCAGGTCCCTGAAGATGTGGGTTAACAAGTTTGGTGTGGAGGGATTTGAGTTGCCTTCACAGAGCCGTGATCTCAACCCTGCTGAACACCTTTGGGGATAATGCGTTCTGTAAATCAGGTTTTCTCATCTAACCTTGCTAAATGGCTACATATTCCCCAGGTACACCCCAGAAACATACTGAAAGCCTTTGCCAGAAGAGTGGAGGCAGTTATAGCTGTAAAGGAAGGGCCAGCTCTATATAATAATGTCCTTGGTTTTGGAATGGAATGTCCAACAAATTATTTTCATGTGGTGGTCAGGTGTACACAAACTGTTGGCCATTAGTGTACATACATTAGTACAGTGATTGGCCATAAAGGTTTGGACAGCTGTCCTCTTTGTGAAAGCATTAGGTCAGGGATAGGCAACCTCGGCACTCCAGCTGTTGTGGAACTACAAGTCCCATGAGGCATTGCAAGACTAACAGCCACAGGCAGGTCTCCCAGAGACAGATGCATGATGGGATTTGTTGTTTCAGCACAGCTGGAGTGCCGAGGTTGCCTACTCCTGCATTAGGTGATCCAGGACACATTTAAAGTATGCTGCTGTCCGGAAGCCAATCAATATACTTTAATTTTGATTGTATACATTTCATTGTGCCCTAAATATGCAAAATCAAGTGAGGTGCACTTGAACACCTGACCTGTATATTTAAATAGCTGGCCAGATAATATTCCCAGAATGCCATCAAGAATGTGATTGTAAAGGGAACCTGTGGTGACAAATATGCCACTGCTGATCACAGTTTTGTGTATTTGTGTCAGTGACCTTGAACTAGAAATGAAAGGTAAATCTGGGCAAAGCATGCTTGTTGTAGGTTAGTGACAAGGGAAGGGTCTTGGAGGTTAGTAATCATGGCTTCCTTTAAACTGGTACACAACGTAATGGTGGAAGAAACACACCCCCTGACCAGGGCTAAACTTTCACATCTGACTAACATGTACCTTGAAGTGCTTGTTAGAACCCTTAATTTAAAAAGGACAACTGGGCCCCAACACCAAGTAACTTGTTTGTAGGTGGTAAGACAGAGCCAAATGAAACCAAGAATATTTTATTATAAGAAAATGAAACACTTGTAAGTTTTGTGGCAGTACATTCAGTTCAATCTGTTACTCTTTGCTCCGATGGCAACAACATGACACACTTCAGCCTCTGCCCCCATTTTCTTCAGTTCGTGCAACCAAACCATCTGCTTGTGTGACAGCCGGTCATTTGGCCCCTTTACCTCCACCACCTGCAACACATGGAATGTAAGAGGACAGCAATGCACAACTATCAGTGATTGGAACTATGAGAAATGGTGACGACTGTGGATTGCCTTAGGTAAAAAAAAAAAAAAATGTTTTTAAAATTGTGGAAATGTTTAAAAGGCCCATCAGTTTGTTTCCTTCTAACCTCCCATTTGGAAGATTTATAGACACTAGAGCTGCAGCTAACGATTATTTACAAAATCGATTAGTTAGCCGATTATTGAGTTCGATTAATCGGTGAAAAAATAAAATACATTTAAAAAAATGGCAGAATGGCACCGGCTATAGAGGACTACAAATCCCAGCAATAATATATCATACAGCGCAATGCAGAATACCACCAGCTATAGAGTGTATAATGTACTATTGTTGGGATTTGTAGTCCTATGTATAATATACAGCACATAATATACAGCACAATGTACCATTGGATATAGAGGAATACAAATCCCAGCAATACATTATAGAGCACCATGTGGGGGGGATTGCAGGCTTACCTGAGCAGTCTTCCAGCAACTTGCTTCTGAGATAGGGCCTGTCGGCGATTGTCATCCCCCCACACCTGCTCCTCCTTCTCTCCGCGTCCCTGTGCCAATCGTGGATGTGGGAGGGCGGTGCAGCGTGTGAATGCGGGTGGGTCTGGCAATGGCGAGCGTGAGGTGGGGAGGAGGTGCGGCACGTGAACAGGGCCAACTAACCAGAAGCCGATTAATCGATGATTGAAAAAGTTGACAACTTTTTCAATAATCGATTATGTCGATTAGTTGTTGCAGCCCTAATAGACACTTCGTCTTACTCCCTGTTGTGTCTAAATTGAGATAAAATCCTCTCAGACAGTTGTCACCAGAAAACAGATCCCCTCTATTCTAGTTCTGGTGACAACTCAAAACTTTCACTCCCACTGACCTACCAGGGCCCAGATGGCAATAAAAGCCTAGCTGGGGTTTTCACCTCTTCAGCACGCTAAAAATCCCATCATGCCTGCCTGTGGCTATCAGTCTTGCAATGCCTCATGAAACTTCTAGTGCCACAACAGCTGGAATTTCCCACCCCTGTCTGAAACCACTAAAAAAAGAAATTGGATACACTTTACATTATATATTGCAGTACAGGTGAAAGCAAAGGATGTCATTGTTAACCCTTCCTGAAAAACGTCTTATGTTTTCTGTCTGTCAGAACAATCCAACTGCTTCAACACTAAGGGGGGGTTATTCACTAAAGGGTGAAGAGTTAGGCAAAGTGAACAATCTAAGACAACAGAGCTGGTTTGGGAAAATTCTTCAGTTCAGCTATGTTGTCCTAGATTGTTCCCTTCTCCTAAAGGTGCCCATACACCTTACGACCATCGCAAGACTTTTGTCTTGTGATGGTCGTATGCTTATTGAAAGCCCGTATGATCTGCCCACCTTGGACGGGCAGATCGTACTTGCGATCATCGAAAGCCCGCCCCGCTGAGGGGCAGGCTTCCGATGACCGCAATGCAGAACGGGCAGTGTGCGCGTGCGCACACCGGCCCGTTCCGCAGCTATCGGGCGAGCAGGCTAGAAACCCGCCGACAATCGTACGATTCTCGGCGGGTTTTCGAGCCCGCTGGTTCGACAAGACGCACACCTTCCATACACTGTACAATCGTGGGATTTCCCACGATTCTCGTACGAGAATCGTACAGTGTATGGGCACCTTTAACTCCTTACCCCTTTAGTGAATGACTACCCTGAGTCAAGTATCTGGAACAAGTGTGCAGATCAGATTTGAGTCACAACTCATTTGCCATATACTTGTTAGAAGTCGCTCAGCAATGGCAGCCTATATCGGTATAGATTTTCTTTGCAAGTGAAAAACATCTTTAATGGAAACCTGTTTGTAGACTGCCATTGCAGGCCTTGTGATCACGTGAGTTTCTGCCTTAATACAGTGACTCATGACAAATATGTAGATCATTGGTGCCAAACTGACACACTATACTTTGTCCAGATCAGTGACCAAAGAAATGAAGACATCATTTGAAGGAGCAATGATGTCAAGTGAGAAATGCGTATGCTATGTTTTTGTGAGGGGCCTGAAAGTCTCCATAAAGTAAAACATAAAGAACATGGAGGACGAGTTCAGAGGAAACCAGTCACAGCATATGCCTATCATCCAGTAAAATACAGAACTGGACCTTTTACCCGAATCTGCTGGGTTTACTATTTCACCCATTCATTGATGTGTTCTGGAATTTTCTGCTGATCTCGCTGCAGCAGTTTAGCCTGGGCCGTGTTCTGCTAACCCCCTATAAAAAGGAACTGGGCAGGACAGACACACAGAAGCTGCCACTATGGACTGCTTTTTTTTTCCTTTTTTAAAGAGGTGCACCTCCGGAGCTGCTATCGTCATCCTTCAGTCACTGACCGTGAAGAAGCAGTCCATGAAATGAAGACAGCCAACCTGTTTGTTTGAAGGCTAATGTATCAAAATGTACAGCAACAAATAGGTTGTTTAGAGCAGTCAGTATTGCAGAAATAGCAACTGAAAAAGAAATACTTTCCATGGCATTTGTTTGATACATCAGCCTCACTGCCATCATAAAAAAAGATTTATGGAACATACTGCAAACATATGTGCCAAGTAACCTATAAGATTTTAGTTTTAAACACTACTGACCTGCTTGGTTGCAGTAGGTTACTGCTCTAAAGCTTCAATAAATCACATTGTACTTTACTGGCTTTGAATCCCAATAAGAATAAATGAGACAAAAAGCCAGGAAGGAGAGCCCCATGCCTGTGACTCCATAGGTTCCATACTGTGGTCTGCATTTTATAAATGGTCTGCTAAATGCAGGTTTTTATAGAGTAACTTTGTGGAATATAATGCAGGATAGACAGCAATAGCCACTATTACTTAGAAATGAGTCCTCAAGTACTGAATAGAGAGGGGAAGGTTTAGACTCTGGCAGATTTTTATCTGTCTGTGTCTTCCCGTCAGGGAAATGATGGAAAAAAATCTTGCAGTTAGGGAAAAAGAAGGAACCCTTGCTAGGTTTTTATTGCTGATTTTTTCTTATTTAAACAAATGATGAAGCAACCCCTTTTATCACATAAATACACCAAACTTTCTAAAAGTCTATCTTTTCAGGGACAAGGACATTAACTTTAATAACCAAGACCCTGATGAACTATAAATGGTGCAGTACAGGGCACTGCTCTATGTGTATTTGTGTGCACACGGTGCCCCTAATAAACAAAAGTCCCACAGGCACCTGTTTATTAGGTGCATATTGCACAGCTGACACACCGTCACTGTAGGGAGTGATATAGGGAGCTTTAGGAGCTCACATTATTTTAGGAAATGATCAGTGGTGGAGAGAGAGAGAGGAGAGAGAAGCGCAGGCAGCAGAGCTGCCCACTCCCTCTGGTGGCTGGCTGTCCAGACTCATCCCAGGGACCCTCTCTCTGCTCAGCCAGGCAGAGGGATGAGGCAATTTCTCTGAGCCCAGTGTCCCTTAGTTAAGCGTTTGTAGAGGACACTTATCAGAGGGAGTCAAGTCCAATGTGCAGATCTGCGTCTGGTCAATCCAGGCTCAGGTTTATGAACAATACCTGCACTAGATTATAGCACAGAAATTCATTTATAGGGTGCAGAAACTGCAACAAATTTGAAACTTTACCGGTTTTGCCACACATTGCAAATCACCTTCAACAAAGGCACACTGTGTTTATGATTTGGCATATTTCGAGTGCACACACGTTAACAATAGTTTACTAGGACCTAAGCTTTAGGAAAAGACATTTGTTGAATTTTGTAAAAATGTAAAGCATACAAAATGATGTATTTGCTGCCAGTATCAACCTTGCCTTAGTGGTAGGAAAGATATACAGTTATAAAAGATATAGGAGATCACTTTAATCTCTCCCTTATCATGCTGTGACCAGAAAATCCCTTTCCATGTATTGACTTGTGACATACTGGTCAGTCACACAAAACAAAAACACCGCTCACATCCCATCTCCACTATGATCAAGTCATAATGGTGGAACGCGTGAGAGAGCGTAAAAGTTGCGTGTCAGTGTACAGCTTATTTATGCTCAGGGATTTAACAGCGTATGGAAGATTTCTCTCTGGAATACTTGGATCTACTGGTCAGTGTTAAGACTGCACTCAGTGTAATACTATATATAACATACCTAGCATAGACCTGACTGCAGTGTGTATAAACTGGGCAATACAGAAATATGAGGCAAAACACTAGATTAAAAAAAATGATATATATAAATAGAAGTAGAAACATCTGTCCATGTATTATATAAACAAGTAGTAATAATTTTGCACAGTTTACCGCAATTTGTCTTTCCCACAAAATATTGGCCTGTGTGGCTTTCCATATCAATAATGCAATTCATTAAAGCGAACCTTGCCCCTCTACTCCCCCTAACACAAAAAATCCCAGACAGTAGCAGCTCTGCATGCAGATTTAAAAACATTTTACAGTCATAAAAGTAGTGGTGGCAAGTCCAAATGGGGGGGTGTGACGTCAATTTAAAAAAATAATAATCATAATCCAAGCAGTGTGCAATTACCTTATACATTTTCTTTTGCACATTCCACACGACCAGGTCGGGGAGACCTCCTTTACAGTGCCTAATGTCTTTGGACATTATCTTACACAGCCCACTTAGCAATGATCCTCCAAGGCAGGACACCAGGCTCTAAAATGAGATCATGATGTTGAAAATGGAGAACTAGGATGAATCTACTTGCAGAATATTACAAAACAGCACAAATATTATACACTTGTATCCAGCAACACAATTTGTCTCCCTCACCCCACTGTCCCTAATTTCACTGGCGTCAGGACATGCAATCTAGCGTCACCCGGACTGGAGCTGCATTAACAAACTGGCACCCACATCTCCCACACTAAATCAATAGCACTCTATGTGCAGTGCTGGAGTAGAACAATGGAGGCCCTCACAATACAACATAAAAGGGTCAGAAGCAGGTGTCCACTTCACGATTAAACTGTACACTTTCTATCACTAAATAATGCACTGTAGCTTGATTAAATGCTTCATATCTAAGTTTACTAGTACAGCTGTGAACCAGTGTGATAAAGCACATCAAATTATATGATTTATTATTCTTTACCATATGAAAAAATGTCTAGACATATCCATTTACAATCTTAAACACGAGGTTGGTAGAGAATGAAACAAGGGAGCTGCAACTATGATTTTATACCATACCTGGATAGCGCAAATCTTCATAAACTCACTGAATACATTCGAGGAGTCCCATGGTACATTTAAACGTACATGACATGACAGACATGGCTCTCTTACACAACAGCCGCAATGCACACCCCTCCTTTCCTCTGTCCATTCACAGAAAGCTTTGTATTTTGAATACAAAGTGTTATGTAAATGGGCAACAGTAGAGAAGGGGGGGACATGCAAGTGACGCAGCAGCTATCGGTGCTCAGTAAAATTATATATAGGAGAGAGAGACAGAGAGAGAGATAGAGGCAGAGAGAGAGAGATAGAGGCAGAGAGAGAGAGATAGAGGCAGAGAGACAGAGAGAGGCGAGAGACAGAGAGAGGCGAGAGACAGAGAGAGGCGAGAGACAGAGAGAGGCGAGACGAGAGAGAGGAGAGAGAGGCGAGAGAGAGGAGAGAGAAAGAGAGACGAGAGAGAGCGAGACGAGAGAGAGAGACACGGCTTCTCACTGCACTTAACTCCTTGTACGCCAGCAGGTTTACGTTGCGTAAATGAGTTCTTGCCATCTATGGAAACTATCATCCTCTTTAATCACACAGATAAAAATGTATGGCTTTAATGTTTCTTGCCTGGTCATCCAGACTTGTCACAATCACTGTTGGACTGTTAATAACAATGTTCCTGTGACATTTCTTTTTTAAACAAACAATACACAAGAAGAATTGGGGCTGTCACGGTAAATACAACCCCAATTTTTCTTGTGTACCGTGTACCCAGGACACGTATGCAATGATATGAGCTGCGCTATAAACCATGCTTTTAAAAAAAAAGAAAAGAAAGTAGCATTCCTGGCTGTTGGCTAATGATTGCCTCATATCTGGTTACTGTGTAACACACTTTATCCTACTGAATGTTTACCTGGGCCTGCTGCAGTGAGGAGAACCGTTCCCAGCTGACTAGTGCAGCTGCTTCTCCTAGGTGTTCATTCCACACATCAGCCATCAAGCTGTGCAGAGTCTCAGCGGAGGACTCCTGGAGCAGCTGGAGCCGACATTCAATGGCTTCCCTTCTATTCTCATAAAAACTGTCTGTATGTAGGTCCAGGGGGAATGCCTGCAACAAGAACATTACATGATGCCATTAACCAGAGCTGCAATCTACTGCTTCAAAAGCCTCTCTTATATATACTCAGCAGGCTATTCTTAGATTGTTTGAGCTTGCACATTCTTATCAACTGATCTAACAGGTAATTAAGACCATCCTTGCCTTTGAAGATCTGAAAAGAAAAAGGTGGCTGTAGACAGATATGGCAGAAAAGTATAAAGTGGATGGCTTTCATTCACTCAGCAGTTAAATTGTATGAGGTCTTCACAACATTTTTCAGGCACCATGGAAGAAGATAGATGACTAAGCAGTGTGTCTCATCAGATACCTGGTAGGTATTCCTAAAGACATCAGGAATCCCCTCCATAAATATTATATCCCACATGAACAAGCCATACAGGGTACAGAACGTGGAACCTTCTCCGTGAATTCCTGCAAATTAATAGAAAGTCAATTACCACAGGAGGACATCGCAAAGGGCTTTATTTAAGATGGACGTAAATCTGCAAAATATTTTCTAAGCTTATTGTGAAGAATAAATACGGGAATTAAAATGTCTCAGTTACAGCCCGGTCGCATGATTATAATAATAAAATTACAGAAGGTTAAATAGTTTAGGAGGGAGTGATAAATAATGGTGTTGTATTTCAAATAACACACCTACCTTGAAAGTAAAAGAAATAAAGAATAAATCTGGAAGATGCACTTCTACATGATAGCTGCAACTTTGGAAGGGTTCTGTGGTAATGGACGCAGTTGGTGGGTTTAGAATAACATCTCAGCATCTGGCTTTCTTCTTTCTCTCACCATTATGCCTGATTCTTATCCTCCTCTCTCCCCCACCTCTGCAAGCCCTCCCACGCATTTGCCACGGTAGCAAAACTGGCCTCTGGTCGCTGCCAATGTACTCAGCACTTGCCTCTACAGTACCAATGCCCGCTTCTATGCTTGCCCCTACTGCAGTGATGCACCCTTCCATATTCAGTCTGTCCAACAAATGGGTACACTTTTGCTAGTTCACATTAAAGAAAATTCATACAGACTATGCAGAATTCCTATGGTATGTCTATGGTAGAAGTTTAGAAAGATGTTCTAGTAAAAAACATTTAGTGAGCTATAAATGTCATCTGGCAAGTAAAAAAGATCACTTAATGTTCCTAACCCCCGAGTTTTGTGTAATAACCTGCAGAATAAGCACACACACGGCTTCATAGAGGGTCAGTAGGAAGGCCATAGGAGAGTATTTCAGGTAGGCTGTGTAACTTTCTCTCTCTCTCTGCTTCCTGCATCACCAATCACAATCAAACTTCCAAGGCAGGATTGCATCCGATTGGTAGCCTTGAGAAACTTTGTAGTACTGGCATGTTTTTTTTATTCCGTGGAGTACAGTTAAATCAAACATTTGTAAATGAAGATTATGGCGTAAGTGTAAAACTCCCAAAAATGGGACGTCCACCAAAAGCAAGTGAACGTGTAAGAGAAAGTTAGTGAGTGAGGCCACCAAGAGACCTATGGCCCCACTACAGGAGTTACAAGCCTCTGTGGCTGAGATTGAAGAGACTGTGCATACAACTGTTGCCTGGGGGCTTCACCAGTCACAGGTTTATAGGAGAATGGCAAAAAGAAAAAATGCCCATCACATCTTGAATACAATTTTACCCTAGGGACTGAAGCCAGGGTCTAAACGCTAAGGCTACATTGATAATCACTATGCCACCATCCTTTCCCACTGTATGCTATGCCACATTGGTAATCAGTCTGCAGAAAGTCTACACGACCTCCGATAACATACCTTGATCATAGCCGAGTTCTCGGTAATGGGCCAGTGCCAGTTCTTCTACCGAACACATGACTGTAGAGACTGTGATATCCTCACCCACCTCCTCTGCCACATTCTCCATTATAAAGACAGATTTTCCCATGCCAGCCTGTGGGTACATCTTGCCTTTAATGGTAACCTGTTCGTTATAAAATACATTAATTAGAGTTGCAAAGCACAGTAACATTTGGAACTGAAAAAAAAAAGAACTCTGCATACAACCAACTCCAGGCAAATGTTTTCTTTAGTTTGGTCAGAGTGGTGAAGCATTAGAACCTCTGTCAGTTTATCACATGCCCTCAGGGCCAGGCTGAGGGGTAGGTAGAAGAGGCGACTACCTTGGATGGTTCAAGTAGGAAGGGGGTGCAAAAAAAGAGCAAACCTTCCAACCTATTCCACTGAAGTAGTTCATAGCTCATGGGGGAATGAGCTAGTGTGGTGTGGAGCTCATGTGTGGTGTGGTATTTTCACCTTGGCTTGGCCAAATGACCTTGTCCTGGCACTGGTGTCCCCATTTGGGAGATTCCTCCTTACTTCCCGTCTATCTGGTGACTGTCAGACAGGAAACGTGAGGAGATATCCTTCTAATTGCACATGAGAAATCATATTGTCTAGTAATTAGAGGTAGATTTAAAACCCCTTCAGAATATTATTGTTCTATATGTCCTAACGAAAGAGATGTCCCCTCACCTGACATTCAAGTGATGAGTGTCAGAATAGGAACAGAAGATAAACCACCTCAAAAGTGACACAAACACCATATATCTTCTCTCAGAAATATGTCATCAATGTGGACATTTAAACCCTGTGTCCTACTCCATCCAAATCTAATACATTTAGGCTGGAATAGGGCTTTAAGCATAACCCTAACAATTGTTCAATAACCATTACATGGAGAAAGTCATTGCATTTAGAGCAATACATCAAACAATATTCATCAATAACTATTGTGACACATGCACTGCGATAAATGAGCCGGTAATGTATATACTAAAGAGCTTTGTCTCACATGAGGAACATCCTCTATAATGATCTCTGGTAGATTGTTGAACATCTTGTGGAACTTTTTGCAGCTTGGAGAATCTCTCATTCTTACAGCCCGTTGGTACAGAGACAGCTGATGACCGGTACGTACATAGGGATCTGACAAGCCCTCCATGATATAGGTGACAGCCTGGGAAAATAACATACAGATAATGAGGATTAGATTTTGATCTGTCATTTCCAAGGCTTATATATTATTGTAATAATTATTTGGGGTAAATCATAGAGATGTGCTAATGAATACCCACCCATTGTAATTGCATCCAATCAATGGGGACCTCCTTACATCACACTGCCAATAGGATGCCTAAACAGCACTGCGGTCCGGCTCTGTAACTTCTAACCCCTCCAATAGCCATTTAGCTTTGTTTAATAGAGCACACTTGTCCTTAGAGCTGAAATATTTTGCTTGAGCAGATTTCAGTTGGTCTTACATGCAAAATGTAAAGCCCATGTCCACCTTTGTAAGCAATTAGCATTTATTGTGGTAAAGTAGAGGTGCAGTGATGTATACAGTATGTGTGTACATGTTCATGACCTATATTGCTTGCTTTCTTCATTTTTTTTATGGACTTTTTAGCAGGCCTGAATCCTAGAAATTCAAAATGTTATCCAAAGGAAACGCAGTCTGTCACTGGAGTTGGATTGTAAAGCAGCTGACCCCCTCCCGGTAAGTCATTGTAACAAGATCACTGCACTCCAACTCTGCCTTTCCAGGTCACAAAAAACTGTCCGGGGGGCGGGCATGCCACTATGAATACTAATGAATAGGAGGAGAGAGCTCAGAGAGAGAGAATGTTTAATTACACAGACTGCTTGCAAAGCACAGAAGCAGCCATTTCTAAATGAGCAGTGAGGGGATGAGTACTACTGGCTACGAAAGGCTAATGATGTCATCCACAGGCTGTTACACTCTTCATTGTTTAGGGTCTTTGTGACTGCATTTCATGTTATACTATTAAATCCTATCCAATAGTAATGCACTAGGTCATTTTACTACATGTTATGATTTTAATTTACACCCTCGTCCATTGTATGGTGCTGCAGGGCCACTATTAAGTGAAGCCTATCCACACATCGCATCTATATTTTTCAAAAAAATATTTCTTCATAGTGAGGCTGAGAACTTATGGGACAAACCTCATATTTTAAAACAAAACCTGTACTGAGAAAAAAATGTAGGCTGCACTAGCTGATCATGCCTAATGAAAATAGGTATTGCACGATTGCCATGTTGATCCAATGGCTTCAGTACTTTTTCATTTGCTACAACAAGTATGCAGCGCAGGGAGTTCAGACTTCACTATGACTTTCCTGATTTGAATAAGTGTTCCAGGTTATTAACTTACAAAGTACTGAAGTCAGAGGCAATCAGGCAACTAGCATTCTCTGAAGGAGGTCACCAATAGCTGCCGTTGCATTTACTTACTCTTAGTACAACTTTCTATAAATACCATTAGAGAAAAAACATGAAGTGCACTTACTTTCTGGGTGTGCTTCAAATGCTGGTGTAAATTTAAAACCAGTCGATCCCACCAGCGTCCTCTGCTGTCTGGACAATATATATTTTGAGACAATAGTGCTTGAAGTAACTCCACAGCTTCCTGCAATATTACAGACACTTTTCATCACAACTGTTAGGTATTTCTTTAACCATCTGCATCAAACTAAAGAGAACTGAAGGTGATTTTACATATATAAAACAAAACTATTTCAATGGTATCGTTTGCATTGTATTTTATATGCACTTGGTTAGAACATGTTGCCATTTTTGTTAATCGTGGGAACACATATGAATGAGTGATCACACAACGTCTTACGTTTGAATAGTGAATGCAGAAGTTTATTACACAATAGTTTGACCCTTCTCTGGTTGGAAATCTTACTATTTAGCATGATATAATTCAGGGGTGCTTAAAAGGAAATTGCTGAGAAAATACATATGCTGCCATTGCTAAACTTTCCCCTGAAAAATTAGGATTCCATGGGCGAGAAACTGGTGCACCATTTCAGGATCCATCTGGCATTACAAAAAGGGGATCAATTTTCCTGAAGGAAGCAGTGCCCGAGAAATAGTATCTCACAGTCCGAACCACATCCAGACAATGGAGCAAAATTTCCTTGTAGTGAGCTAGACAGAGGCATGGAAGAATGATGTCCTGGTTGAGGTAAAAGGCAGCAACTACTTAGATAAGGATGTTCTAGGCCTTAACACCATCTTGTCCATATACAAAGGCCCTATATAAGGTTCCTTGCAGAATAAAGCTGCCATTTAAGACAGACACTCTCCTTGCATGGTGATGGCTACAGGAATACCACCTTGCGGGTGAGAGTAGAGAGGGGAATGTCTCAAATGGGTTCAAACCGGGGAAACCAAATCCAGATCCCAAAATGTCACAGGGAATAGATAGGGGGAGCTACAAGGGAGACTGTACAAAAGACATGACTCATAGAATGAGAGGCCAAACAAAATAAGAGCAGAAACTTAAAACTTGGATTGTAGAAGAAAAAACAGTGCTGGCAAATAATAGGTTAGTCTTCACCCACAGAAGAGCTGAAGAAAAGATGTTCATCTTTCTAGGTCACCAACAAAAAAAAACTGAGGCATGCTGGTAAGAGGGGTTATAATGGGCTGGCCTACAGTTTTTTTTTGTGTCTAAACCTCCTGTAGGTAGCAGCATTACCCTGAAGGTGAAAGACTTCCTGTGCCCCTCACTGGACAAGAAAGAAATACTGGTTGCCTGGCTGTAAAAGCGCTGCGCTATATAAATCCTGTAAACTAATAATAATAATAATAAATGTTATGCTGATACAAGAGCTTTACTTTCTGATTCACTGACCATAAAACAAGTAGACAGATCAGATGGACTTTGGCCTGTTTTCACTGGTCTAATGCTTGTTCTGAGTCAGTAAATCAGGAAATATTGAGGCACTTACCAGCAACTGAAACTAGGCAAACGTCATTTTTAGAGAGAGTTTAGCAATGGGAGACTTCTCCATGGAAGTTGTGTTATACAGATTACTGTGAACTATGGCTCGAAGTCAATATTAAAAGTAAAAATGTATTTTTATTCATAGCAAAGCTTAAATATCTTAAAAACATGTTCTTCTCAAGAATACTGTATGCAATTACACTGTAAGTAGCCAATATATTTTATTTAAAACTGAACGGGTAAAATAAAATTGACCCTTGCACTAGCGCTCCCGTCCGTCTGGGAGGGTAAATGCTTGTTTTTGTCTAGTGGTAACAGAAACAGCAGTTATATTGCCTTATTCCTAGCTCCCCTGGCTGCCGGCCCTCTTCTCTCCAACACTTCAGGTTGTGAGCGTACCCTCAGCACCCCCCACCACTTGCAATGCAGGACTGTCTGAATGCTGCACAAATATGTAAAACTGATCAGTATTGTCTTCATATGCATTTTCATTTCTTTTTCCATGGCAACAGTGAAGATAAGCAAATTTGGTGGAAAGCCTGCAGTGTTGCGAGCACCAGACACCATCCCATACACTTGTTGCATGGACATATATTGAATCTGTTGCAGTGCCAATTTATATGGAACATTTGTCCCAAGTGTGTTGACATTTCTTTTTCATACTGGTCTAGTTGCCATTAACAATGACATATCTCTTGCTTACAAACACACAAGCACATTGTAGACCGTGACATTAGATCATTGAACAAGGGACGATAATTTATAGTTCACTTCTTTCTGTTTCAGGGATTCTAAAGGTTGAAGTATTTTGGCTGTTTGTACTATTTCGCTGCATATTTCATATGTACTGTCATATTGCTATGGCTTCAGAAGGATCTGTTTTTGCGTCTGATTATTTTTAAAGTAACCTATTAAAGTTGGTATTTTATCCTACTTTTGTCCTATGTTCTCAGATCAATACATACATTTTTAGTAGAAAAAAGCAAAATAAAAGACCCAAGACCACGGTTAAAACAATGATGCTATAAAAAGATGTCTGGACATGAAAACACACAGCATTTACACCAAAATCTAGTGATGCAAAAAACAGAAACTATACCAACTAAAGGCCATAAATACTATACCTCATAGAGATGCAATCTCTGTAAGATTTCTACACCTCGACATAGAATCCTTGTGTATACCCAGCCCACAGTAAAACAGCGCAGGTATAATGGCAGCTCTGCGTGGTACCTTTATAATGGACACCATGATTAATACATGCACACTGGGAAATATTTTATACACAGATCAGTTGTATGGCCTTTCAGAGCACAGCAGTTCTGTTATTAAAGAGGAACTTTAGCCTTATCTTCAAAATGACAACAAAGGCAGGTTTATTCATGTTTAGTAATGACAATCTACAGACACATACTTACAGTATAGATACATTGCAGGCTTTGTATTCTTTACATACCTTATTTTTTCTTTTCTTCCCTAATCTTCTCACATTGGCAGGTGAACCCATCACACTTTACGTCCTGGTACAATGGCACATGTGACTAGGACATTTGACCATGCACATCATCTAAGGCCGCGGTTCTCAACCTGTGGGTCGCAACCCAAAAGTGGGCCACAACCCATTGTTGAGTGGGTCGCCGCGTCCATTTCTGCTGCCGTGGGTGAGAGCGTCCTCCGTGCGCAGCAGTGTCAGTGTCAGTCAGCGGGAGGACAGCAGAGGCTGTGAATACCGTATAAAAGTGCCACTATACACACTCCCTGGCCGCTGTAGTGACATCTAGTGGCCGGGGAGTGTTTACAGCAGGACTTTTCTATTCAGAGCTGTTGCTGTCCTCCCCCCTCCACTAATGTGGGGGCTTGCATTCTTGTGAGTGTGCTTCAATTTTTATTCAGTGCAATACCAAGTCCTGAGTCCGGTGCAATACCAAGTCCTGAGTCCGGTGCAATACCAAGTCCTGAGTCCGGTGCAATACCAAGTCCTGAGTCCGGTGCAATACCAAGTCCTGAGTCCGGTGCAATACCAAGTCCTGAGTCCGGTGCAATACAAAGTCCTGAGTCCGGTGCAATACCAAGTCCTGAGTCCGGTGCAATACCAAGTCCTGAGTCCGGTGCAATACCAAGTCCTGAGTCCGGTGCAATACCAAGTCCTGAGTCCGGTGCAATACCAAGTCCTGAGTCTGGTGCAATACCAAGTCCTGAGTCCGGTGCAATACTAATTCCTGAATCCAGTGCATTACTAAGTCCTGAGACCAGTTTGTTACTAAGTCCCGAGTCCAGTCCGGTACTAAGTCCCGAGTCCAGTCCGTTACTAAGTCCCGAGTCCAGTCCGTTACTAAGTCCCGAGTCCAGTACTCTGTTGGGGATCACCACAACTTGGCAGATGTTACCAAGGGGTCCCGGCCCTAGAAAGGTTGAGAATTACTGATCTAGGGGGAGGAAATTGCCTTTCGCTGAGATTTCATGGGATTTTGCAGTTTACAGATGAGATTTTCCAGCAATGTACTGTGATGGGGATGGGCTAACCTTCCCGGGATGGGCTACATCACTAATGCCCAATGTCATACAGGTGTGCTCATATTGCTCCTACCGTGAGACAATCTCACTCTGCAGCCACTGTCAAGCAATAAAGAAAGCTTTTACTATGTACAATTGTCATACAGATCCAAATAACCTGCTTTGACATGAAACTGTACATGCTTGGTATACCCCTGCATGTAGCCCCTACTGAGCAGTCTCAATTTATTTTCTGAAATGAGACCCAACAGTGGGGTTAAGTTTTTAAGTCAGGATACCCCCTACTGTGCAGACACCTGAATAATCTGTCAAACTGATCAACATTCATTTCATATGCATATTTTTACCTTTCTCCATGGCAACAGCACGATTGTACCTTGTGTTTCAATGTAGGACCCATGGATTACAAACCATCACAGTTATACAAAAAGGTTACACAGTGGGGTAGAATATTGAGACTAATTAGCTCAGACTGCATACCTCAATGTGGGCTCATTCTTCAGCTGATCCCAGACCACGTTGGCACTCTGATACAACACATGTGCTTCTTTCCAGTTACCATTAATCATTGTAACTACAATGTCCACCAATTTGTGCATTGCGCATTCATACCTAGAAATAGCCAGAATGAGTTGGTACAAACATTCTTTTTATTTTATGTATAAATGATGTCTTTGCTTATGGCAGAATACAGAACTGCAGAGATAATATCAAATGAAAATTGTTGGCATGGCACATTTGCTTTCCAGTATGTGAAAGTTCAACTCCTACATAAATGTATCAGATTTGTATGGCTGCAGGTATGTTTGACTACAATTGCTTCTTTAATCTTTTGGAAGCTGCATTGTAAATGTATCTCTGCCAACATAGCCAGCTCTGCTAAACTGCCACAGCTTTGCAAAGCCAAACGATGGTGTTACATTCCCCCCTATTGATTCTCTATAATAAAGGATAACCCAATAAGTGAAAACCCAGATTCAGGGCCAGTTCACACCATATGCAGTTTTGATGCAGTCTGTTTATTTTAACTGCTGCAGTCAAAATACATCCCAATGCTTTCCTATGGGCTTTCTTGTGCCTAATTCACACCATTGCAGTCCGTTCAGATGCAGTCAGAAAAACAAGTACTGCTTGGCCTATTTTACCTGCATCTAACTGCACTAAACGCATCAAAGTGCAGTGAAAGTGCATGCTAAAACGCAACGGACTGCATACAAGAAAAAAAAAAAAAACAGAATTGATTGTGGCATCATCCAGGGGAAAAGCACACATCAAAAATGCATCACAAGCGGATCGCAATGCAACTGCGCAGGCGCATGCAGTTGTGATGCAGTTTCTGGTGTGAACTAACCCTAGAAAATGCAGACAATGATTCTTTCTCCATACCTAATGAGATCTTCTCTGTCCTGGAATATTTTCATGCTCCTCTGCACAGTGTAGTTTGGGAATGTCATGCGGCCCATGTTGACCATTAACACTGTGGAAAGCAAGCTCTGTCCCCCACTAGCAGCTTCTTCTACTTCCATAGATTGTGTCAAAGAAAACAAGAGGAGGACTCGGGAAAAAACAGCCCTGGGAGCTCTGCAAACCCGTACTGCTCGGCCAGCACTGTCTTTGGCTCTGGAAACAAAAGACAATAATTGAAACACTGAAAGCAAATTAAAAAAATTCCATTATAATGATCCATCCCAGAAAAGTTGGCATCTCTATGTTACAGGAAAACTATCAAACCTCATAAAGTTTGCAGAAAATATTTTATGAGGCAGCTATATTTTTATCATTTCATATTAACCCTTTCGCTGCCAAGCCCTCCGGAACATTTTTCAAATCAGCTGGCCAAGCTATTTTTGAATTACACTTAATTAACAGCTCTGTATTTTCTCTCTAGCGGCTACCTGTATGACAGATAGCGGAATCAGCAAACCTGCTGAAAGTCTGCAGGCATAAAATCAATTACTTTGAGATTGTATTGTGTTTAACTAATCAGTCTTAGCTGACCCACTGGTTTGCGAGGTAAGAGGAGCCAAAAAAAAAGCACAAAACATGACACTGCGCAACTGAGAAAATATGGCTTCCCCATGTCCATATATATCTGAATACTATACAAAGAAAACAAAAAGTGAATACATTATTAATTATGAATACAAGTGAGGCTATTTCCTCTGTGCTGATCTTGATGGCATATATCCAAGAAAAAAAAAGCACTTAAACCTATATTGTCTCTTAAAAAATTAAAGTAAAGTATCGCTACACCTTCCTTAAAAAAAACGTCCTTTATAAGGCAGCATAAAGTCCCCACTAAATTGGAATCTGCATATAGAATTTACATTTTTTTTTTTATTCAAAGTGCTGTAATCTCCATCTCCATGCACTACCAACGGGGGCTATTTTCTCTTCACTTCCTGCCCCCGGTTAGTGAGCAGTGCCTGTATATTCAGGTCACATGCACTACTCCTGCAAACTACAAATCCCATGAACCAATGCACTTGCCTACTGTACTGTGCATGCATCCCCATTTTCTAAATATAACTTTATGAAGGGGAGGCTTCCTTTGCTATTATGTGACGGCTCCAGCTGTGTAGTCCATGCTGGGAGCAAGCAGAGGAGGTTGGCTACATTTGCACACAAAGTCAGATCATGTAGACAAAATGTGGGCACCCTCATAATGAAAGTTGGTGTACAGAAGACTTTGCCGGGACGTGCTGACAGTTGCTATTATTAGAAGGTAATAAAAAAAACAACAGATGAGAATAGTGAATTTGATATTTTGTCTGTTGGCTTTAGTAACACTTTAAAAGGAAATTTCCACTTTTATCTATGGCAGCATGGAACAGTTGACTTTATGGAGTCTAGAGGGGGATCCCAGCCTCTGAGCATAAACATTTCTAAGGGCCAGTGTGCAAGTGTAGTTCAGATGTATTTGCCATGCACTCACATTGACTTGTATGGAGGAATAATTTCAAAACCCAAAAACTAACCTAAGCTCTTAAAAGCCCATATAAAACCATCCCTCAGAAATGGGTTTCCCCTTTTCTGTTGAAGTTGGAAGATCCTTTTATTCCTAATGAATTCATTTAACATGTTCAACAAGTTTGCGGATGCTTCAATAAAATTTGCAGGAATATGGCCTTAGTATTTTGCTGCGTATTAAAAAACAAATGTACATAAACTCATATGTGAAATTACTTTTTAAGGATAGCTGCAGAGATGCCAGACTGATTTTTACCCAAGCTGAATATGGAACGTTGTTTGGAAAGTTTTAAAAACTCCTCCACAATCTGTTGTTTTGGAGCATTGGGGTTTTTCAAGTGAAATGCTTTTGCTAGGTTTTTTAGTTCTGGGGCAGGCAGAAGATCCAGAGCTTCAGTAAGGTCCTCCAACTCACAGTCTGAAAAAAATAACCCAGAAAATAAGTTTCTTTTCTTTTATAAGAGAAATGTTTGCATGCATCAGAAAAATAGAATGGATATTTCTAAGACATGCTGTTCCAGGATGTCGTAATAATAGGCTGCTATGATCCCCATATGCATATTGGGGCTTTATGTACAAATACCATCTGAAACAATTGATTTAAAGAAGAACCCTGAGGAAAAATTATCTTAACCCTTGCAGTGGAGCTACCCCGCACTGCAGAGGTTGATTGCTAATTTTCCTCGAAATAACAAAGTTATACTCACCTGAACCTTGCAGCCAGCTGGCTGCTACTCCGGTCCCCAAAGCCTCTCCACTCCAGCAATGGTATGTCCCCAGGTGTCCTCACGTCCAATACACTGTATGAGACGCGATGACTCACAGGACCTTAGACCACTGGAGCAGAGGGGGAGAGATGCTTCCGAGTTCAGTCTAACAGCCAGCTGGCTGCGAGGTTCAAGTGAGTATAACTTTATTATCTTGTCTTGAATTGCGATTGTAATGTCTTCCTTATATTGTAAAGTGCTGTGCAAACTGTTGGTGCCATATATAAATCTTGTACACTGAGTGGCCAGATTATTATGACCACCTGACGTTTGTAGGCAAATTAGTTATAATTTCGCACTGAAGTTGCTAGACGGCCGGACAATTATAAATAGGGAAGCAGGTTGTTTACCACAACAGTAGAAGAGATTTTTTTTCTGAAGATATGGGGAAACAACGCGATTTAACAGCCTTTGAATGTGGGATGATTGTTGGCGCTCGGAGCCATGGAGCGAGTATCAGCAAAACAGCAGAATTGGTTAAATGTTCAAGAGCAGCTGTTGTTAAAGTGTTTAAAGACTGGACCGTCAGCCGAAAATCTGGGTCTGAGCGTGCGAATTGTGGCCGTCAGCGACTAGTCAATGTTAGGGCAGAACGGAGAGTGGCAAGACTGGTACAAGACAACAGAAGGGCAACAGTGCAGTGTCAGATTCCTCGCATCAACTTTCAACATCTCGTGGAGTCACGAGGCGGCCCAATGAAGTCATCTCGTGGAGTCATCTCGTGACCCAACCAAGTACTGATGGGGTGGTCATAATAATCTGGCCACTCAGTGTATAATAATAATGAAATATCTACTTTGGTAAATAGATTTTAATGAATTGTATACTTAAGAGTTAAATAACACGAGTTACTTAACCTCAAAACTTCATGCTGTATTTAACTCTTAGTGAATTGAGTCTTATATTACCAAGAATAAACACGAATATGCATTGAATGTGGGACTTTTCAGCTACAATACAGTACATTCAGTATTTGCTTAGGTAAAAAAAAAAAGGTTTTATTAATACAAAAGTAAATTAATCCAAAATTTCCAATGCAACACAGCACAACGCACCACCGTGCATGGTTGCACGCTACAATGCAAGTGTGTTGGCTAAGTACGTTGGGGTGCCATTTAAAATTAAAGGCACATGCATTGCATGGAAATGTGAACATGTAACTGTGACCTTAGAGTTCTTATTTTACAATGCACCTTCTTTTAGGACCCTGTCAGTGTCAATTAAAAAAATTATATATTAAAGTCAAAATACATTTTAGCTATTTAAAATGCTGATTAAATCATGTACAATGGATGCTGCTTCTTATTGTTTAAAAGTTTTAGTTTTCTGCAGAATCCGCTAGTCCCCTGAGCACTGGCCCAGATACCCTGTTTTAGGGTGGCTCCTTTCCCTTGCAGGGTCCTATGGAACCACCCTTGTGTGTGCTAGTAAGTTGTGTGTAACACACAGACACAGCAAGGAAAACCATTCCTCTTTCCTCTCCTTCCTTCCTCCCTTCTCCAGGCTAGTAGATAGACAGTTGCTGGACACTGCTCTGTCCCTAGTGAGCTTGTTTTGGACAGGAAGTTCAGAGAACCCGAGCTGAGAGAGTTGGAGCTCTTCTGAAACATGATGGCTGTGCAAAAATTTTAAGAAATACTTTGCTGGGCAATGTAGATTAGTTTGATCTGGATTCATTATTGAAAAAAAGTTGAGAGTTTAATATTACTTGAAATTAACAATTGATCTAAAGGCTACAAAACATCCCGGTAACTAAAACACTGCAGCATTTGATCATCTCCAAAGGATCATTATTATAATCAATACCCGATTGCAGGAAGCCATTTCGATTTAGTTCTTCAATATAGGGAGTCAAGTCAGAACCGATCTCAGAATATTCTATCTTGTTTGTTTTTATCCAGTTTAACTTGCGCTGGAATAGTCGCACATATAACTTCTGTCCACCAGCTTCAAAAGAAAAAGGGGGGAGGAGAGAAACAACAAACATTAGACAATAAGAGACTAAATCAGGAAAAATGACATGCGCTTCCAGCAAATGTAAAACTAATTCCAATCACACAAAGCCTTTCGAGTTGCTACAATGCTTAAGATCCCCTTCACATAGTGTTGCATTACCACATGTTAAGAAGCTCTGCCATCATGCAAGCCAATTTATTTTAAAAAAGAACTCCGGGCAAATTAAATCTTAACCCTTGCAGTGGGGCTATGCCTCCACTGCAAGTGTTAAAGTGCTTATTTTGACTAGGGAGCTAAAATAAAGTTACTCACCCAAATCGCAATCCCGGCTGGCTCCTACATCGCTCCCTGCAGCCTCCCTCCTTCTCTGCTCCAGTAATTAAACGTCCCTCGGTAGCCTCATGTTCTATACACTGTATAAGACGTGATAACTCTTCACTGGACCTTATACAGCTGGAGCGGAGTGGAAGCGAGGCTGAAGGTACCAGTCTAAGAGCAAGCCAGGATTGCGGTTCGGGTGAGTAAAACGTATTAATTGTTATTTTAGTTACCTAGGTAAAATGGGCACTTAACCCTTACAGTGGGGCTACCCCCACACTGTAAGGGTTAAGATTTAATTTGCCCGGAGTTCTGCTTTAAATTGGCTGGCAATGCACCTAGGCACACACACTATAATAAAAACAAATTTGACCCCCTTTTTTTTGCAATGTAGTGCAACGTAAAGTGCAGCATGTTAATAGTGGTGTGCTGCAGTGTGAGTGCGTTGTCCACTACTATAATAGTGCATCTAAGTGCCATTCAAAACTAATGCCACCTGGGTGCACTGTGCTTCTCTATAACATGCAGTAAAAATTAAGATAAGCATAGCCCCTTAAAGAGCGTTAAGTGCTTGTTTGGTCTAGAGTCTATAATAATATACACTCACCCAATCCATGGTCGTCCTGGCTGCTAGTCCAGTCCACACATCCTCTTTTCTGGCAGTCTAATGACCCATGACGTCATCAATTTTTTACAGTCTATTAGACGTGAAGACGCAAAGGGACATACCACAGGCGGGGGGAGAGGGGGGGATGGGAGACAGGTGATCGGTCATCACCGCTGGACTAAGAATCGAGGGTCTTATTTTAGAGCCTAGACCAAAATGAGCAGCCCCACTGCAAGGCTTACATTTTTTGAACTTCCCAGAGTTCTTCTTTAAAAGGTTTTCTTCAGGTTTATAAAGTGCATACAAACAAAATTACAAAATTTATGTACCTGGCAGTTGATTAAATGCTGTTAAAGTCTTTCTATCTTCTTCATTAAAAAGACGCATGTCCTCCTCGTTCTCCATGACAGTCTGCAGCACCATTGAAAAGTTTCTTAAATAATATGGTTGCCTATCAAAGTCTGAAGCATTCTCTTTATTGCTGCCTTCGCCTGCCTCTTCTTGGCCATCAGTGTCTCTTGGCTTTACAAATTCAATAACATCGGAATCTTCCATGGGAAGAAGACGACTTTTGTCTTCACTAGAAGACACATCCAAAGAATCATCACAGTTCTTGGTCAAAGTAGATGGACCAGACGTGGCTTCCTGAGGATCATTAAACTTTGCCTTTTTACCATCGCTGGTTATATTCCAATGGTGACCAACCAACTTACGTTTTAAAGGTTCCCTGATCCTGTCTTGTTTGCAAGATATATCTTCAGCATTGCAAAGTAATATTTTTGGACCATCATCAATAACTGGGTTGAGTTTGTGGTCACTACTAACCTCAGGATCATCACTTAGGGTGTCCAAACTTAAAGCCAAAGTTTCTTTGTCAGTACAATGCGTGCCTTCATCACTGTGAAGACCATTGGACTGGCCATTACTTTTACATGGTGGCGACTCTTTAGGAAAAGAATGTGTGTTGGGCGAGTCATGTGACAGATCTTCAAGGCAGTCAACAGTGTCCTTGCTTTCAGCCCTGCGCGTTTGATATCTCCGAGATAACTTGGAGGAAAGGCTACCCAGTGGCACAGTTTTTACCACCTTCACTTCTTTTGGAATATCTGCCACAGAGGGATTAGTCTTAAAATATGGGCTGTCTTGTTTGGTATTTGCCATTGTCTTTTTACATTGATCTGTTTTCCCATCCGCTTTCGTAGCTTGAGTTTCAAATTCTTGCGACAGTTCAGAATCTGTGGTGGAAGAAGAGAGCTGCACAGATTTTCCATCTTCTACCAATATGATGTCATCATTCTCGGCCTTTGCTTTAGGGCATTCTTCATCAATGTGTTTGTTCAGACTAAACCGAGGGACCATTTCCCCGCACAGAGGACAAGAAAGTTTAGGAGGTGGTGCATTCTTAAAGAGAGCAAGAATTGATGGAGATGCTGCAGGCTGGCTTGAAGATCCAATGGCTTTTGGTGTTGAATTGTTCCGATTTTTAGACAAAGAGAGGCTTTTACGTTTTTTATTTTCAGGAGTCTTAGCTTCTGACATAATGATACAAGATGAACTTTTCCAACATATCAAGAATCATTTAGTGTTGCACCTTCAAAAAAAAAAAAAATCAATTATATGCAATATAAAATGTATGTGAAAGATCTGTGACTCACCGAGATTTGACACAGGTTAGACCTGTGTTGAAAGACACATGCCAGGTGTTGTCAAGGTATACTGACCTGAGATTAGTGCATGGGCGTCCCAGTGGCATGCACTTCTTTTTTTTAGTGTTGTATGGTCATGGGAAAGATTACAACTCCTGCCTGTTTTTTGTATTAATTTTTGCTTCCCGTGTTCCCTTGTGTAGCTTTTCCTTCAGTTCCTTTCTCAAAAATGTAACAGGAAGAGAAAGGAAAGCGCAACAAAGTGAAGGAATTCCCCCTTTTAAACAGTTGTCACCAGAACAGGTGCCCCGTTGGGCAATTTTCTTCTATTTCTGTTCCAGTAACTTTTGAAATTCCCATCTGTTTTTTTGTGACAATGGTGACTAAAAAAAATATAGAGTGGGTTAATCGCCCTGGTGGAGACACAGTCAGAGATAAAAACGTGACAGAAGTTCTAATTCTTCCATACTTTATCCAAAACAAACGTTTTGGCTATACATACAACTTAAAGAGGAACTTGCCCTTATCTTTAAAATGACAACAAAGCCAGCTTCAGAAATGTTTAGTAATGGCAATGTACAAACCGATATTTATAGATCATAGCAGGCTTTTTATTCTTTACAAACCTTTTTTTTTTCTTCCCTTTTCCTCCCCATTGTTCTCACAGTGGCCATTTTGACTAAGGGTAGATTAATCCAACTCCCTTTACTTCCTGGAACTCTGACACATGTGACTAGGACATGTGGCCATGCTCATGCCTTTCCCTAAGATCTTGTGAGATTTTACAGCTTACCGATGAGATCTCCCAGCAATGCAGTGTGATGTAGCCTTCCCAGGATGCATCTCTTAGGCATGGACTATATCACTAATGGCAAAGATGACCAGGAAGTGGAAAAACAGTAACTGTAAGTAAAAGGAAAAAAATGTTTACATAAATAATGACTTACAGTAACTGTGGTTTTCCTTTTTCCTAATGTGTTCATTTCCTTCTCTGCCTGGTCCCATTTCTGCTGCCCCCTCTTTTCTGTTACCTGTTGTTTTCTTGCCCTAACAAGGTCCTACGAACCCACCCATTGTTGTGCGTTTCAATGCTTAGACTACAGCCTGATATGAAGATGCTGCTGTGCCCACATGCACAGGCAGCTGGAGGGGAAAACAGGCTGAAGACATACCTTTGCTGCTTCTCCAAGGTGAAGTGATTGACAGCGGCTCCAGAGTCAGCGTCCTCACGTTAGCCAAATTGATTTTGATAACTGGCCCAATGAATCATGGAACATGTAATCATGATGAGTGCACGCTCCCCAACCAGAACCTAGAGGCGGAGTAGAGAAACCACAATGCTGTATATGGAGACTAATCTATTTGTAAGATTTAATGGATTTTTCTATATACAATAATTGATTGCAATGTGCAATTTTGGACTACACAGAAAACAAGGAGGCTTTAGCATTACTTCAAGAGCTCACTGTATCTCTTTTTACAATGAGAAGATAACCCCCCTTTTATGTACATAAATACTAGCCTTGTGCCCCTTGCCTATCCAGAACATTACAAAACAAGCTCTAATTGTATTGGTTGGGCAGCAACCCTACACATTATCCTGAAGACACAACTAAAAGCAAATGTACATCCCTTTTAGACAGTTGTCACCAGAACTAGTGTCCCCAATGGGAAATAAAAAGAAGAATCACCAGTACTCCAACAGTGAACCAATAGAGATATACCCAGCCATAGATATCCTGCTAAAGCCGCATCAGTGAACCCAGATCATACACACGCATATACAAACACACACCCAGGGCGCTCCATGGCGGCCGCCATCTTGGATCCAAACTTTATTAACACGTACAGAGCATGCAAACCGTAAAATGTAAATGTAAACCGTTTTCTAAATCGGCTTAAAAGTAAGTAAGGCTGACTTTATTACGACAGAGAATGCAGAATGTGAATACAGTACTAGAAAGGGGAAGCGATCTCCATGCGGAACCTTAACGCCGGGGTTCCAGTTTCCGGGCGGATTCGTTTAGCAGCGGCACATCCGCTGTAGCGCCGCACATGTGAAATTTTTGAGTACCTTGGTGACCGGGGAGATGGCGGAGGTGTCGCGGCAGAGTCTGTGGCGGAGTACGGAGGTGCTGGAGGCAGTCAGTGCTCACCCCGAGCAGCTCCTCAGGTATGACATCCCTCTGTCAGTGAATGATGAGCCCTGGGATCATGGGGTGTACTGTTCAATACAGGGGAGATTATGTTAGTGAGTGATTTAACCGCTTGCTAGCTGTCACCTCATTATGGTAGCGATAGATAGGAGATTGATAGTAGCTGGATTGTACCAGGGGAAGCAATCAATCGCTGAACAGATGGAACACATAGGTCCCTATGGAGTGAGCTACACACAAAGCATGCATGTTTTTTACCATCTGTGTAACATTGGGGAGCTTTCCCTTTACTTCCTGCCCTGTAGCTACAACAGGAAGTGAGTGGAAATCTCTCCAAAGTGAAGGACCCTAATGGTCAGCAGCATCAACAGAATTAGTATCCCCATTGAAAGATTTCCCCTCTATTGCTGTTCTAGTGACAGCCCAAAGCTTAATTTTCAGTGATAACATTTATCAGGATAAACAGAGAGGGACATAAAGGACACCATTCATTGCCGCTCTGCATTCACTAAAGAGGAACGGTATGAAAACACTTTTAATCAGGCAGAAATTTTATTGTATGAAGTCTCTTCATTCATGTTTGCAATATACACTGAGCTGCGCAGGCTGCTGTGCCACATCTGCCGGGTTTAATGAACTCCTGTGCATACGTGGGATGTCATCCCGGCACAGCCAATGAGAATGGCAGAAGATCCTGAACGCAGAAGACAACTGGACAAACATTACATCGCTGGATAGGACCTGAGTATACTTCCACTTCAATATATCAAAAAATGTATTTTTTTACATTCAAGTACTGTAAGTACCTCAATATGACCTGGTATGTCCATGTATGCAGTCCCTGTACAGCAGAGCTCAGATTGGAGGAGGGAGAAGCAGCATAAGGAGCCAGTAGCTTGTGCTGCAATGCAAGGAGCATGCTAATAGCAGGAGAGAACAGTGATAGATAGGTTCAACGGTCTGTTATTTCTCCTTTCCCAGCCCAGTCACAATGTGGGGTGGGAAGGAGAACTGCTTGGCTGGTTACACAATGTTGCACTGTGTTATCACACATGTGTTGACATGCTTTGCGTTAAGGCAGCCCATTAATTGACATAGTCTGCCTATTGCACCAAAAAAGGTGAATTCACTATTTTATAGTGGTGTGTTGGTGTACCCTTAAAAGTGAGTGGCAGGGCACCAACTTCAGTGTTACTGAATTGCAGCAGAGAAAATCAGGTGGTCTGCCTTACAAGACAGGGCTGTGCGGCAGAGCTGTGTAAATCACAGGACTGCATAGATGGAAATTAAATAAAAAAAGAACATTCATTTTGGCATATATTCACTCAAAACGAACTATCACAGATATTCGAAGGGCGAACGGCCCTGCAAACATTTTATAAATGGACGCCAAAGTGTCCTTGTCTATAACGGCCAGAATTTGTTGGTGTGACATTTAGGCCTCATTCACACGAGAAAAGGCCGGCATGTACAGCTCCGTGCTGTGTGCATGGCCGTATCGGGCAGCTACCGGGAAGGATAGGTGCTGCGTGTGATTAATACGCATCCCCTGTCCTTCTCTATGGGAGTATGCGGCCATACGCTGCCCTATGCTCACCCACCCTGCACATCGGTGCCGGCTTCCATATTCGTACGCTGATAGGATGGATCCTGTCTGCGTCCGAGCCAGGACACCCGCACCCGTACGAACCTGCACTTGGGGTGAGCATAGGGCGGCGTACGGCCGAGTACTCCCATAGAGAAGGACAGGGGCTGCGTACTAATCACATGCAGGACCTGTCCTTCCTGGGAGCTGCCCGATACGGCCATGCACAGAGCTGTACGTGTTGGCCATTTCTCATGTGAATGAGGCCAAAAACTGTATATTGCTGTTGATGGCTCTCCAATAAGTTGAAGTGTTTTGTATTACAATATGCAAGAATGAAACATTTTGTGGTATGTGTCCTGTACACAAGTATCCACAGCTCAACTTGCTTTTTTCATTCTCTTCTAGTGTTCAAGAGGGACTGGCTTGTGAATTGTCCAACCTGACGAAGGCGCTGTATGACTTCCATAGGTCAGAAGCTGCTCGTGGTATAGGAAGCCCTCTTAATGAACTATTTATTGAGAATTTTGATGAGGAGCAAATCTGGCAGCAGCTTGAACTTCAGAACAGTGCTGTTGTCAGCCACTTCAAGAAGGCAATCAGTAAGACTGTGAAGGACAAGGACTTATATATTTTGCAGGTTTCTGAAGAGGAGGAGGAGGAAGAAGAAGAAGAAAATGCTGAGGAGGAAGAAACTGAAAATGCTAATGATGAAGAAGAACCTGAACCAATCCCTGACAATCGTGACAGTAAAGGAAGAAATGGTAGATTATCTGATAATAAAAAGGCCAAAAAGTCCAAAGTGATTGAAAACTTCAGTGATGACGACGATTCAGATATAGACTTTGATATCGATGAATTGGAAAAACGGAAAAAGAAAATAACCATTAAAAAGCCTCTAAGACAGCCAGTGGAAAAGTCCATTGTGGACGACCAGTTCTTCAAGCTGTCAGAAATGGAGGCTTTTTTGGAGGCAGCTGAGAAGGAAGATGGTAAGGACAATGAGGACGATGAAGAGGAAGTGGATTATTTTGAAGATGTTGCCTCTGATTTGGATGACGATGAGGATGAAGAAGAGTTCCAAATAGGAAAAACAAGAAAACAGGTACGATGTGTTTAGTGCTTTTGTGACTGCAGTTGTTTCTGCAAGATGTGATCGCTAAATCCCTATTTGCTGAGGAGTCACTGGTGTGCTGCACCAGGCATTTATACATTTTGCATGAGCTTGTTGAGTTATATGATGAAGCTGAAGCAATGGTGGTTCTCTTATTAAAATAATAGGCATCAAGGGCAGCCATAATTATTTCTTTCTGCATTGTAGTGCTGCACAATAGGTTTTCCTTGATTATCCTCTTATTGCACTGCAGGTTTACCAGTCCAGGTATGACTGATTAAAAACAATGAACTCTACAGTCTCTGATAACCTGAAACAACTTGGTAGGTCCAGTTAAAGTGGCATGCAAAACCAACAGAGCAAGCAACCATCCCTTCACAATTTGCAGGACTGTGCGCCATAAATATTCATGGAAATCTGTGGCAGAGGGCCTTGCAAGGACTGCTTGAATAGCCACTCAAGCCCCTGGAAAAGACAGGTGAAGGGGCATAAATACTACAAAGACACCCCATGGGCAGCAAATTTTATTACTGCTGGAGACTCTTCACAGATTCTCCACATACCCCAGTAGAGCTGCAACAGTTAATCGATTTAGCCGATTAAAATCGACGATTGATTTCCCTGTTCGGGGCTCTACAGGCGGCCTGAAGCACACGCTG